GGCCGCTGGAGAGTTTCGTTTACATATCCGTGTACCACGGAGGAATTTCTATTCGCAAAATCACGCGTGTGTTCGGTCGAACTAATACGCGGGCGGGCGGACGGGGCGGGGCGCGGTGAGAAAATTTTTGGATACAATATCATTGTTTCTCCCTTCCCGCTCTGCTCCCTTTGGTCAATATTTTATTTCAGTTTCCATAGAAACGTGGGGAAAATCGTTAATGGGATTTTATATCGTGCCTATATCAAAGCTTCTTCGCGCCGATCCGTTATTGACAACGGGGGAAACTCGTGGTTCGATAGCGCCGCTGCTTTCTGAAATTATTACGAATTGTTATGCGGCAGTACTTTACGGGACACGTCATTTTTACTATATCTCACTTGGACTAAATCTGGAAAAATAAACCCCGGGAAAAATAAAGATGAGAATCCCGAGCAAGTTTGCAACCTTATTTCTCGGATGTCACATTTCGCGACCCAACGCCTCCATTTGTCTCGCGTTGTCACGAGTCCTCCTACAGGCGTGAAATTTATCCCACGACGTATCCGCGTTCTTACAACGGCGCGTCTCGCTTTCGCAAACGTAACGCCGCGCGCGTATCTTCCAATTCTCTGCGCGCGCGGCCTCGTCGTAACTCGGAGTCGTCGGCGAGACGCCGAAGGGAGTCGCATCTGCGTTTCACTTGCAACCAAACGTGGAGCTCCATTATCCGAAGGACGTCTGCATTATTGGAGCATCCTAAAGTTCCCGTTGGTCCAATACTTCACGCGTAATGCGAATCGATGCATAATGCACGAGCTGTGCGCGCGAACGTATGCGCGCATCGGTTCGGAGGATATGGGCGAGGACGCGTTTCGCGATGCCGAACGTGTGTCGCGCGCTCGTCGATGCATCGCGCCGATCTCGGAACAATGGAACGACTGCGCGCGCGCATATGCGTGCCTTCGAAATAACTGGGATTCCATCGCGAAAGCGTGTGCGCGAGACGGCAACCTGCTCGGGGACGAGGCAAACTGGCGGATGCGTGGCCGATTCGGCGACTCGCACAAACCGGACGTTTCTTCGTCGCCGTCGCCGTCGCCGTCGCTGTCGCCGTCGCCGTCGCCGTCGCCGCGCCTCTATACCCGCACAGAAATTTTAGTAAGGTCCTGGTAGGAGCCTAATAAGGATGCCTTAATGCCTGATCGGGTACTCATCGGGCAGCCCTGATAGGGCCCTAAATGTAACGTCGAGAATTAAAATTGCCCGATCAGGTTTTCCTTATCCAGACCTCATAACTTGCCCCTTGTTACGCCTTACAATTTCTAATAGGGGGGTAGTAGGGAATCAGTAGGCTACTTAAAAAATTTAATTTTTGAAACTAATTTTTAAATCCTGTTAAATTACATGGTCATCAAAGGTATATTTAGGTAATTGAAGTTTATCCATAATCCAGACAGCTCGCTGTCGGGTCACATCGGCTCGCCTCTTATACTAATACGGGATGATTTTTACTTACGAGATAGACGCGCGGTCGCGGCAGTGAGTGGTACTAGTACTATATATTCAGGTTAACGTTTGTCAAATCCTATGAGGGAATCAGGCGCACCAAATCAGGCACATGTCAGGAATTCCTTATTAAGGCATTCCTTACTTCCTGTTTATCAGGACCTGATCATACATAAGGCATGCCTGATTTCATTTCTACTCGGGTGATTTAGCCTTTGTCGCGAAACGCGCACCGTCCAAGTCTCTTGGCGCGAGGTCGCGAAACTTGACGACGGTCGCGCCTGCATTTCGTAGTAAGAGAATGAAACATTTACGAAAGAAGGCGTAGCTCTCATGAAGAATGAATCGGACGAGGTACCGAGAGTTGCGGGTGTACTTGATTTATTTACTGTTTCTCACGAAAATCGTGGTCAAGTGCCAACAGTTTCGGGCAATTCCCTCTCGACGTCGGGTCGATTGTTGTACGAAAAATATTTTTGTTTACTCGGATTAGTGGATGGAAGATACGGATCTCTCGTCTCAAGAGTTCTCTTATCTGTGCGTATCAGGAATTTACTTATCGGATTTCTAAAAGAAATGCCAGCAAACTTACGAAAGTAACAGTAAACGCTACAATTAAAACCATTAACGATTGAACAAATAGCTTCCTGTAGCTTCCTTTTATTTCTGAATCGCGCCATGGAAAAATTATATGGCTATGTGGAAACTGTATAATTTTCAATCGTAACTTCATAACTGTTATGAAAAGCACGTAATTTTTTTTCAACTTTGTTCGTGTTCAACTGCTGGTGGATATTACGCGCGCGCGATGTTCGGTTTGGTAATATCTATTTTTGCAAATTCATGTCCTGCTGACTAATGAAAAATCAGTTATGTTAAATAACACACTGCATTGTTAAAAACGACTATTTTTATTTTGCATTTTAATAAACACAATACGTAAATGCGCACCGTCAAGAAAATTAAGTCAATTTCAAGGTTGCTACTTATTGAATAATAATTGCGAGCAACGATACACTTGGTACACTATTACGTTGGTTTCGCTGGATTTCGTACTTTGTATTATAGGCCGCCCTTGGGCACGAAAATTATATTCACATCTGGCAAAATTTGCCCTCGCTCCAACGTATTCAGCTCATAATTACAGGATAAGCTTTACGCGCATGAGCGAGAGAAGGAAGAGAAGGAGACGGAGAGAGGAAATTGCATTTGGCCATCGTATAAAATCTATGCGATGACAGCGAACATACACATTTGTAATATTTCAGCGCGATATCTAATTTTCATCTCGCAAATACTATCAATTACCTTCAATCAGGTCCGATTGTGCTAAACAATTGGACGTTAAAAGAGTAGCAACGCGCGTAGAATAATACATGCGCGAATGTACATATTCACTCTGGATCACACTCGATTTGTTTGTGGAGTTTTATAATATAAAAACCGGACGCGTGATAGACGTTTTACGAGGAGGGTGATTTGTGATTTGATATGAAACGTTGAACGCTACGTACGCTCGCGATATGTTCGAAGCATTCGAATTTATCGTAGCGTTTAGAAAATCTTCCTCGTCGTCTTTTTCGTGCCGTTTAATTTTTACTCACATAAATCGATCATAAACCCTATCAATTTTCCGTGAATCAATAATCGATATTTGAACGCCATTCGTCCGCCAAGAATTTAATAACGCCAGGGGAAAAAGCCTTTTATCGCGAGATACATTTTTTTTAAATTCACAAGTACTTGCTAATAGAGTTTGGTGAGACACGACGGGACGGTCGAATTTTACATAAATCGATGTTAAATAGTATCGGTTTGCCGTGAATAAATCGATATTCAAACGCAACTCGCTCGACGCGCGCATTTAACAATACGACGGGAAAAGCCTACCGCGAGAGGCACTTTTGTTTAAATTCACAAGAGTACTTGATAACAGAGTTTTACGGAGTATAACGCGACGGCAGACTTTAAAATTTAGAACATGAATGCGAAATGTTATGCGATTAATTTAACTTGAAAATTCTCCAACGACGTTGTTGCATAGATAAGTTTCTAAATGCGCGATAGCCGACCTACTTTCTATCGCAACTATTTGCGACACTTGTATAAATACAGCATGAATTTGCGAAACAGATTCTACTCGATTATATATTTCGCGCGACAATATCAAGATACGGCTAGCGAGCCAATTTATTTAACTATTAATTGCGAGAGATTGCCCGGGATAGCGGCCGTTTCACTTTCGTTTCTCGCATGTGCATGCATATCCAAGCACGTGAAATAACTCTATGGTATCGTAGCCCGATCTTACATTTAAGATCGTCTTAAGTTCATCTTAAGATGCTTACGGAACATTTCACCGGTTACAGAGTATTTAAAGATGATTTTAAGACGATCTTAAATATAAAAGCTGACTTATAACGTCTTAAGATTATACTTAAATGTATCTAAGAACGAACTATACCGGTCTAAGGCCCGCACCCGCAGAAAAAATTTCCTGATCCAATGCTATTACACTTCAATGTATCACAAAATAGGATCGATATAGCGCCAATCACATTTATTATAGAGAAAGGAATATTTCAATCTTAAATGAAAAGTTTGAATCTAAAATAAAATGATGGTATGCGTTGTCTTTTATCGAATGTCGCGGTGACAGCTTCGTGCGTTGTAAGATGGAGGGAAAATTTATTCTAAACAACGCAAGAATATATAAACTTGCATTTATATAAGTTACTCTTGTCTCAATATAGTAAGTCGATCCTTTTTAATTCGATAGAGGAGAATAAGAATTATTGACTTTTATTTCGACATTGTCTTATTTTTATACCAAAAATGAGGTTGCGAAAAATGTAAATGCGTCAAGAATATTTTTTTGTCTCGGTAACAGAAATCCTTTCTGAGGGTTTCACCAAACGTCGCTTAACACTTTAATCTTTGTTTAATTCATGTTTGTCCCGTTCTAAAGTAACAGTTGGAAAGAGACAAAGAACTAATTGAACTGAGCTTAAAGTTAAGCGACGTTGGCGGGCACCAGGCCTAAGAAGGATTTGAGATTTCGAAAAGTTAGTATCTTTATTCGATCGTATCCTTGATGTTAGCGGACCCACGGTACCGTTTACGAGAGAAATTTATTTGACAGTCCGCGCTCGGAGAAGATTTTCTCACGTTCGACGTGCGTCCGTACACGCATAAACGCACACGGTACGCTCAGTGATCGACATATCGCTAGTTGATAACTGCTAAACGAGAGGAAAGGAATTGAAAAACATCGCGCGCAAGTCTGATTTCGCAAGCGCTGTGGTGTTTTACATTAGGTATCTCATCCGGTACGGTAAACAATGTCGTTTTATCCCTATACTCTCGGAAGTCCGTCGTTGGAAGGCAATTTCGGAGGAAAAGAAACCCCCCCACTCGCGCAACGACGTCGGTATTACCGTAATTGCCCAGATATTACATTACGCACCCAACGGGATCGCCTTTGTGCAACGTGTCTCTTTTTCTTTGCGCAGTGATTTCGGGACTGTCGGCATGGCAAGTAATGTGGGACACGGCAACGGTGGCAGTGCTCTAGTGATTCTATTATCGACGCGCCATCGACGTCGTCTAGGTCCACTTTCAGCCGGAGGAACGACGCTGTATCTACGGCCCACGTAAGTACCTCCGCGAACATTTCCGACTGTGCCCTTCTGCGGATGAATCCCTTTCGAACCCAACGAGCTGGATCCCACCTTTGAAGACGCTCGTCTTGATTATCTCCTCTGGTTAGAGAAAATGGCCAACGAATTTATAGGGTGGTTCCGAAATCACCAGATGGTATCGCGGATGCGAAATTCTCGGCGAGCGTCCGAAGGGAAGAATAGAAAACGCTAGTGCGAAATCTCTCGCTTAATTAAGGCGACTCGTGCCACAGATTTATCTTAGATATTAAACTTTATTAAATCTGTTAAATCTGCTTATCAAAGTGATACTTTTTTTTTTAAATAACTTCAAGCTTGTTTGACTATATCTGGCGATGTTAGCGTTCAAGGCTCGCAACGTTTCGACCATGGGTTGTGGTCCCTTTCAAGCGAGCTAACAATGCAAAGCAGGAAATTTTGAGATTAATACGCGAGATTAATACGTGTAAAGTGCATAACCGAAGTCCGAGATAATTGATTTCATAGTCGAAGGTTGAAAGGTAACTACGTTGTTAAAGACAATACCTGAGAAAAGTCATGTACATAGATTAATGGGTATTTCGGTGATCCAAACAGGATTGTATTTGTGGCCGCGGAACTAAAAGTGGGAGTGTCAAGAGAAAAAGAAGCAGAAAATTCGGTTAATTAGCGTTGATCGATTTTTTAAAAATGTCTGTATATTAGTACCGTGAATTGTTTCAGGCATTTAACGTGTTGTTTCGCTCGCGAGTAACTGAAAGTTGCGTCGAGCTAATTGAGACGTTTTAATGTTGAAAGAGAAACGTGCGTTGAGAGACGTTGCGACGCCGAATCAAATATTTGTCGCTGTGCTGAAGTTCCCCCGGCTAGGCACGTCGCGGTACACCTTGTATACCCATTTCCTTACGAGGTCGATACTTGTCTCAAGTTCTAGAATCGAATATGCCGTGACTACGCGAGACTTCGCGACGGCCGACTTCTTTATGCCGCGCATCAAGTACACCTCATGCATCATGTGTCACTGATGAATGCCGATAGAATAATCGGGGCTGATATTCGATTACCGGTCGGTCGCCGTAGAATCGCGTGTAAACATGCCATCCGAGCTATTTTCGCGGCGCTGTTTTAAAAGCAAACAATTTACCTTGCGAGCGCCCGCGCGCAAAAAAAATATCGCAGTCTGTGTCCCATAACTTTGGCGAATAGAGGCAAAAAAAGAAAAGGGAGAGGTCCTCTTTGGTTTTTTTTAACGCAAAACGCACGTTGCGCGAGGCTTTGTCATTCAAAAAAAAGCGCGATCGTTATTTAATTTTGAGCCGGTAGTTTCGCGACTTTGAGGGCAGACTGTTTCAACCATCGGGTAACTTTTTGCCCTTTGGTTAACATTTTTGATCCCGTTGTAATGTTACCTCTTAGAGACAAAGGATGTTAACCAAAGGGTAAAAAGTTACCCGACGCTGGAGCAATCGGCCCTAAACCCGTGAATTGTCGAGCGACATTCTCGAAATACTTGGCTGTTTCGGAACGCGAGGTCTCTTTGACACGCGCGGACTCTATGGCGACTCAATTGATTATCGGCTAGAGAAGTTATAAAAGCCGCCGGGAGATTTCCCAACTCTCAGAACTCTCTATTACAATAATGGCCGGCCGATCGCCCGCGGGCAGGTTTTGCGGTGTATATCCGAAGTCTTGAAGGTAGGCACTCTTAAAATAATACCCGTGTTTCGAAATTGTGTACAGAACCCGCAGTATTATTACTTAAGTTGTAGCTGTGAGGAGTTTGTTTTGCGAGAAGCCCCGCAGAGTCCGTCCAAGTCGCTCGTACCTACTCCAGAAATCGCCGAGGATGTTTCCTAACGTTCTCGCAAATTCATATGAATCCTCGAGAGATTTTTCGAGACACCGCGCCGCCGAGCCGGGAGTCCGGCTAATGAGCGCCATCAATTTGCCCGCACGATTCCCGTAATATCGGGCGCGGGGAAGCGACTTGACCAAGTGCGCCAAGTACAGAGATTAAGGGTAAAGGCCGGAGAAAAAAGGAAACCGGAAAATCGACGGCGCATAATTCGATCCTCGGGGACGGGCGTCGTAATGATCACCTCCAAACACGCCAGCGTGTATATACTTGGGCGTACGCGGGGTGAGAGAGTGCGGATTACCGGCGACAGCGACGTTCACCTGTTTGTCTCCGCATTAGCCCGTTGCTTTTGCGCCGGATCACTGTAATCTTCCAATTATTTCACCAATTCCCGAGCCTGCCGCGCCCGGCCGTGGCGGCGGAAGACTGCAAATTAATACGCGTTTAACGGCGGACGCGTAAACGGAAAACATCCGCCAGCGTGCTCGCGGACGCGCGTTATCTATTATTTGCACAAAAAAACATTCATTGTTTACCGCGGAATCCCTCCAATTGGAAAATACCGCGGGGTATGTACCCCCGAAGTGAGGCTGCCCCCCCCCTCTCTCTCTTTCTCTATCTATCTCTATTTCTCTCGCGCGCGCGCGCGCTGTGAGAGGGAAAAAATTCTATTTTTTTCAGAATTCCGCGCGAATTCGATATCTGGTGTCGGCTAATGACTGGCACTGCTATTTGTCATTGTCACCTGAGTGCTCCAACGTTTTCGCATCGTAAACGAAGCTCGCGGCTGGGCTTTAAGATACCCAACACCGGACGGATTATCGCTCGAAATTCCATTACGCTTGTGCACACGTCATCGCTCAATATATACAACGGCGTACGAGGAAACGTGGTAACTTCAGATTGTTTGATGTTTAACGGGAAATCTGTGTTGCCGCATTGTGTCAATGCGTTGCGTCACGTGTGTACGAAAATATCTCGCTGACAAGGCGGAGATAGCGCCGTGACTAACGGGCGAACGCACTCGCGGTTCCCCGACTCGTGATCGGAGTCGCCAAGAAATTTCGCCGATCGCGGGTCCAGCCGTGCGATCGGTTTGCCGGTTTCGCGCTACGGCCCGCTCGCGATTCGACCGATACGCATTGCAAATATATATTACATGCATGTTATGCGCAGAAAATGAATATTAATTGCAAACGTATGTAAATCGAAGCAGATAAAGTTAATGTATGATAATCACGAGTGTTTCGACGAGATGATAATTATCGCCGGTGTCGCAATTATATTCTTGCAATTTCCATTGCAAACAAAAGCCTCGCGAGATGTTGGTATTATCATTTTACGAGCATCTCCACGCTCGTAATATCGCCGGTATTTTTTTCTCTTTTTTTCAAGAACACGGACGTCTTGACGTTAATGTTCCACGTAACACTCTTCTTCCTCAGACCTATCTCGATTGTAGAACGCTGGGTCTTCGAAACGTGGATGGCATCCGAGTGGAAAGCTTACATGTACGAGGGAAATGTTGATGATAAGTCGTAATCGGACACGAGGTGCCTGCTCTGGGGGGAAAAAAGACAGCAACCCACTTTGGGGCCCACAATTAGTAATCGAATTACTTGGATTCGTAACTCTTAATCTTTCACGAATTTTACCCCGCGTAACTAAAAATCGCAATTAGCTATTCTAAACTGATAAAAAAAATATCTTAATCCAAAAATATTACTTTCCTCAAGAAAAGTATTCATTAGGTTAGCTCCTAATGGCTTATTAACTTAAACTTAAAAAATTACAAACATTAAAACATGCGTTGCTTTAATTTTACTATTTAATTTTATTTAATTTTTATTTTACTATTTAAATTTACTAAGATGTAATTTTCACAGCGAAGAAAATTGGATTTCTTATTTAACGAAAGCAATTATTTCATTAAAAAAAATTGTATTCTGTATCTCATGAAATCTTTATTTGAATGTAGAAAATGTAATGATTTAAATTACTTTACTTAATATAGCACACAGATTTACTTGAAATTTGATATTTTTATTTAAATAGAATAACACTTAAAGTAAAAGAAATAATGTTAAGTGAATATATTTACTTAGTTAAAAAAAAATTTTGTCGGTGTATCCAAGTATATCCAAGATTTTTAAGTAATACTAATCAAAATTCTCTCAATTAGTTCTGTCGATATTCAGTAACGCAAAGGTAACTTTTACTTAAGAGGCACTAACCGAAATGTTAAGTTGCTTAATTGCAAAAAAATCAACATTTTTCCCAGAGTAGAGTGTTACGAACAATCCAAATAATTCGATTACTACTTGTGGGCCCCACAATGGTTTGCTGTCTTTTTTTCCCCCGCCCCAGAGTAGAGAGGCGCAACTCGGAAACGCGCGAAAACCGGGAGTCACGCGAAACACACCGGGTAGGCGATCGACGCTGAACGTTGCGCAATCGAGATAAGAACGAGGCAATGTATGTATCGATGTACGCGCACGGTCGTTAAACGTTATACAAGCGATCGAGGGGACGTCATTGGCTTTGCAGACGTGGCGCGATCGTGGGCAATAATAGGAGATTCTTTCGCGATACCTTCGCCACCGTCGGAAAAGTCGCCGTAAATCCGGAAAATTGCAGAAGTCGGAAAGGTCAAGGAATACCGCAACGGGTCAAGGAGATTGCGTGTCTATAGAATTTACCGCGGCGATGAGTGGGCGCGAGATAGCGATTTGTTTAACTAATAATTATCGGCGTAATGAGCGTTAAAAGCGATTTCAAGGGAAAAAAGACCGATAAGAGATAACCGCGAGCCATTATCTTTTCTAAGGCTGTTAATTCCCTCATTGTGCTGCCCAAGTCTTTTGGCTCGTTTCTCCTGAACGATTATATAGCTCGCCGTCTCGTGACGATGAATAAAAGTCCGCTGGAAAGTTATTAATCAAAAAAGTTGCCGCCGCATATGCGTTTGTGCGGCAACTTTGTTCGAACGTGACACATATGCAGCCTTAATGAAACGGCGAACTTGTTACGGCAACTTTTATTTCAGCGACGGGTGTACACGCAACTCCGATGTGACATTTAATGTTTATTCCAGCCCGGAACGAGCTCTCGCGCAAAGCCGCTACCGTTCGCAAAA